CATGGACAACCCTCCCAGTTTGGGACCCTTCCTGGTGCTCAGTGACAGCACTTTGCAGCACATGCTGCGGGGACACACGTACGGAGTGTTTCCACTGCTGACGGGACAGGTCTTAAGTTGTCCCGGCGCCGCCCTCAACATCTCTGCCGGCAGCGTCCCCTCCATCATGGAGCTTCTCCACTGGCAATTTGGCCTCTTCGGGCCGCACAAATTCAAGGCGGCAGTTCAGAGTCAGCCGGTGGCCTCCATTTTGGAGAGCCACCTTGACGGACAAATCAACGTTCGCTTCATTCCGCTGTCAAGAAGCTTGCGCCCGGAGAAGCAAATCAATTATGACTACCTGATAGACGGCAGGGTCCAATATGGATTTGCGGACAAGAACCTGCCAAATCAGGAAATCATGGATTTGGCACAGATGCCTGGTGTAGGAGGGGTAGAATGGCTCTACAACTCCAAGAATCTCCACTTCCGCCCTGATGTTGCGGACATCGTCATCCCGGCACTTGTCACAAGAGCCATTGAGGAAATGCGCAACACCCCAGGACTGCCTGTCCTCGTGGTTGCTGGCTGGAATGCCCGCCAGCAGGACATGCATGTCGAAATGCTTGCTGCCCAGGCTCTGTCACAATGCCGAACTGTCCGGGATCTTTCGGAGGTAGCCATGCAGTACGGACATGGCCCCTGGGGGATGCGCTTCACGCATCTCCCAGAATGGGAGGCCACCCCCGTCCCGGCCCTCCTCTTCCAGACCTACGTTCACGACGAAAAGCCGGAGCCAGCCCAAGTTGCGGCCAAAATGTTTGCCGGCTTCACCCGAAAATTCTGTGATGATGGTGTCCTTCGGGCTACCCTGCGGCAACTTGCCGGCAAGTACGGCTCCAATCTGCTGGATCGCCTCAGTCAGCCAGCTCACAGAGCAGACGTGTTCCGCTACGTCTACCACTACCAGCACGGCGGCCTCTATGTCGATATCAAATGTGGCTTTGTGGTACCCTGGGAACAGGTACTCAAGCTTCTAGCAGCAGATTGGAGCACAGCTCACTCAACGAAGGCAGGTGAAGTGGGTCACAGACCCTCCCCACCTGGCCAACTCCCAAATGAGTTCATGGTCATGGCCATTGGAGTCAAAGGAGATCACATCTTTCAAGGCATCATCTATGGCAAGCCCAGACACCCTTTGATGAGGGAAGCCATACAGCACGCCTTCAGCCGTCAGGTTATGACAGCGAAGGCGAACTTGGAATACATGACCTTCTGCAAATTTCTCTGGCAGATCTTGGGTCGAGACCTTGGACACTCCCCCCAAGCGGGATGGAATGTTTCCACCAAATTTGGCCCCATCTACCTGTTCTTGGAGCGCTGGGACAAGCGTCTGAAGAACAAAAAGTACGACAATGATGGCCACTACTTCGTGACTACCAACAACACGACAGTCGCCTACACCAGGTGCTGGAAGTGGCTGAAGGGATTTCAGGGAGACCCTACCACCAAAGAACGAACCGATCGCATGCTGCAGAGCCAGCTCCCCGACATCTCCCTGGAAATCCAGTCTGATAGACCCGAAGAGCACAGCTCACCACAGCCACTTAGGTCACAGACCACGGCAACCGCCATATCGGCTCCTCCTCCTCCCACTCAGGAGGATATTGAAACTTATGTAGCCGATAGCATCCAGCACAACTCCTTTGCAGAGATCATGGCCACGGTCCGTGAGACCCACCACTATAACCAAGACCTTACAGAGCAGGATGTGCTGGAGCTCATCCCTCGCGGATTGGGGCAAGTGGAAGTTTCAGGAGACATGTGGCTATGCTGTTTGCACTGCCGGAAGCACAACAGGCAGGTGCAATTCAGTACTAGTCACGGCCTCAAAAACCACTTTGTCACGCAGAAGCATAACCCGACACCCAGCGCCACGCCGGCATCCGAGACACCTCCTCCTCCCCCTCCCCCAAAGCTCCCACAGGAGATTCCTCTCCCCCCCAGCAGTACCAGGACCAGAGGTACAGACAAAGCAGCCGGCTTTGAGCTGCCGCCTTCCCCCCCGTGCCCTTTCACTTCCTCAGCAGCTGAAAAGGCAGCTTTCAAAGCAAGCCAAGCAGAAACACCGAAGGCGGCCCCAGCGCTTCCGGCCAAGGCCCCACCAACGGTGCCCACCCCTTGCCCTCAGCCTCCAGCTTCCTCCTCGGCAGCTCCAGCTCCCCCTCCAGCGATCCCTGTTTCCCCGATCCCTCCGCACCCTCCCAAGTCCGTTTCTCCTCCAGCCCCTGCCACCCAGGCTGCTCCGCGTTCCCACACGCCCTCCTCCTTCTTCCCGCCCCCCGTCAGCATATGAGCCTCCGGAATCCAATGCGGAACTCGTCGGCTATGTCCCACAGCCGGCTCCACAACAGACAGTACGCTACACGCGGCAGGAGCTGGCTCAGCTGCTGAGCTCCCAGTCCCACCAGGACTGGATTCGGGCCTTGGCTTCCATCAACATCCTGGTGGCTCCGGTCATTCTTGGCGGCCTCACCAACCATGAGCAACAGACCCTTTGGTCTACCAGGATGGAAGCACTCCGCGAAGTTCCCCCGCTGTTCTCTGCCATCAAGTCGGTAAGGACGCAAACAGGCCTCACATGGGACACCGCCATGTCGGTGAGGCGGGTCCTCACCAGTGATGGGAAGGTCACCATAGCCACAGGCGCGGGAGACGCCTATCGCGAGCTGGATGCCCCCACAAAGGTGCATGGCCTTATCCATGCCTGCTTCAACAAGATGTGGGACGAAAAGGCCTTTCAGCAGCACTTCCCCTCGTGGGTCGAGTTCAACATGATCGCCACCACCATCGTGGCCGTCTACAATGAGACGGCCAAATCAGCCGGACTCCCAGCTCGTGTCTTTAGGGTCAAACCCGACAAAAATGCCTACTCCATCATGAAGATGCGGATCCAGCACGACAAGGGGCACGAGGAGGACAAGCGCATGGCCAAACTGGCTGCTGCTGCCCCCAACAAGCGCCCGCAGATGCAGGCGGCTGACACAGAAGGCAAGCGACAGCGTGACGGCCCCTCCTCATCTTCCTCGTCCCAATGGGCCAGACAGGCACGCTCATCTCAAGATGACGACTGGGACTGGTGGCAACAGTGGTCCTGGCACAGTTACTCTCAGCAGTGGCCAAAAGGTCATGACCAGTGAGGGCAGGAATATGTCACAGACTCTTTGCTCCCTTATGTCACAGACTCAGGGAATTCGGCACTCTTCCGACGCTCAGCAAATCTCTTCGGAAGCCTGTGACCCGCGTGCTTAACACGACTAAAACAGCATTTCGCTCTTCAGCGAGTTGCTACGTCCAACCTGCCCAAAGCATCACTCCACCGGAGTTGTTTTCAGGTACATGCGGTCATGCACACATGACCCTTACGGCCTTCTGTCCTCAACATGAGTAATCCGTGTGGGACGCCACGAGACGGATACTCCAGGTGTCGGCTTCGTCCGAGGTACGGCCTAATTGTTGAGACAGGTGCACAGACGGACGCGTCTGCTCACACCAAGGTGTCGGAGGAGGAAGCTTTTGTAGCAGTAGTCTGTCAAGTTTGAGCTGATTAGAGAGATCTGAGCGATGCATGCTAGAAGCAGTTTCACGAGTGCACGAGACCAAAGGCGCCCGCAAAGCGCAGAGCACGCTCGCGCAGCGTTCAATTGAAAAATAGTAGTAGTAGGAGCAGTAGCAGCTGTAGCAGCTGTAGCAGTAGGTGACTTCGGACTTTCAGCTGTTCCTGTCGTTGCTGCGGTTGCTGGCCAGGCGGGTGAGGCTGGTGATGCTTACTGATGTGTTGTTGTTGGGGGTAGTACTGGGTACCGGTACTACCACTTGTACGAGCACCGGCACTGGGACAAGTAGGTTCGTAGATCGTAGTAACAACGGCAACAGAAGTACCGGTAGCTCTATTTGTGAGCTATTACAGCCAAGGGTAGCAGTGGCAGGTTCCACCTTTTTACACCCTAATCCCTGAACCTCATACCCTAAACGTTACCTTTTTCTATTATCTGACCATGGAACACTGTTCAAGCTCTGCATGACCCGGGCTGCACTCGACAGCATCGCGTGCAGCAGAGCACTCGGCGAAGCTCGTGGTGCAGTCCCGGGCAGCAGGGCTCAAAGCTGAATTCGGCTTGCATGCCTTGCATACCCTGGTCCTTCTCAATCTTCACTGGCCAACATCAACATCAGAGCTCTTCAAGTCTTGTCACACCTGAAGATGTAGAGGCCTGAATATGTACAAATGTTGTTCTTTAGGGTTCCTTAGCATACCTATGCAACAATACATCCCAGAAGCCTTTCCTAGTTATTAGGGCCTCTTGTCATTCGCAAAGTTCTTGGAACCTTCCCCTTTGCTTCCAGAAGCGGCGACACTCTGGATGTTCAGGCTGCCATGATATAAATCTCTTAGGGTTCCTTAAAGGGATCTATAAGGGTACCTTTAAGGGGTTCCTTTAAGGGATCTATAGGGTTTTAGGGTTTAGGGATATAAATCCTGCATTACCCCTAATAAGAAATGTACCATAACTCCCATAGTTCAGGGTCCTTAAGGGTAATGCAGGATTTATATCATCAACCGTTGGCGACCCTGACCCTTACACCCCAAATTGCGGCTTCAGGGGCTCTGAGGTGAGGTTGATTGGACTCCGTTGGTCGAAATTCAAGGAGTCGGGGCTTCCTACCGGAAGTGTGAAGTGTTGGAAGAGCTTAGGATGTAGGTTTTAGAGTTTAGGCAATGTCTCGAAGTGCACTGACCAGCTTTGGAGAGATCACATGCGACGAACGAAGTGTCACGAACTTAACAATGGCCAGCCTGCCGAAGTTGCATCAAGCAGTAAGGTCTGCATGTTCAATCCGGTGGCAGGGCTTCGGGTTTCGATTTTGACAGGGCTTGGGGCTCAGGGTGTAGGATTGGACCACTGCAGGAAACGCAATGCATGCATGCCGTTTGCAAAAATCTAGCTGTGTAGCAAGGGTCACTGCTTCTTGGCCTTCACGTACCCGATGCCGGCCACGGCACAAAACGTTCTGAGGTTGATAAGGTCTTTGACCACCACAATATTGGAGCCTGTTTGAACCTTGCTGAGATGCACTTCCATGTCATAGCCCCAGACAGGAGCCGAAATGACGGTCAATTGCGCCTTGCTTTTACCACGGACTGAAATGTCCAGTCGACACCAAAGTCCTTCCCGTCGCTTTTCGATCCATCGTAGTAATTCCCTTGTGTTCCAACCCTTGCGCTTGTGAAAGTCCTGCACGTCCTTCCCCAATTTCCAACCTTGTTCTTCCGCCTTGTCCTTGGCCTGCGCAAGTAAAGTCTCCATCAGTGACCTCTTCTCCGCAGCCGACATGGCCCCAGGGAAGTTGGGATGAAAGCTACCGTAAACGGAGTCCATGGACAACCGCACCACTGAGGGCTCCCTGGCTGGAGACCAGCGCCGCCAGTGGTACAAGCCCACCAGCATCGCTGGAGCTACCAGACCCGGACCGGAGAGGCCTAGCGAGATCAGCACGGGCAAGCTGCGGCGGAATGACATTGCAAAAACGAGTGGTGGAACGAGCCAGAACTCTAGCCGAGCGCTGTCACAGAGCCAAAGCGAAGAGGCCCGACTCAAAATTTACAGTGCGGAGCTTTTCTGGTTCAGGGCTTAGGGAAGCTTTACCTGTTTATCTCTTTGTAGGGCACATACACAAGTCACACATCGGACATTCAAAAACCTCTCAATGTACGACCCTGCACAGACGCAAGACTCACACAGCCTAAACCTTAGGCCATCAACTTAAGGCTAGTTCTGACTACTCCCGAAGTCGCCCCAAGTGCCACGGAGCCCGCTGTGCAGTCAAAGCGGCCTGGCTATCCGGTCGCCGGAGGTAGCCTAGCAACGCATGAGGAAGTTGTCCAAAGCAGGAGCTCAAGTAATCAGGTGTACTTAAAGGGTCATGGGACTTAGTAACTAGAGTTCTAGTTAGGCGAACTCTACCTATTACTACTTGTAACCGCAATTAAGGTACTTATAGCCTTACTTACTAAGTCTTTACCAAGTCCCATGACCCTCCAAGAAGGGTGCAGTGGCCGGAAACTTCCTGTCGCAGGGTTTGCCCAAAGCTTCCTGTGTCTCGACCGTAGGCGCTGAGCCACCCTGAGACTCCAATATCCACCAATCATGCAGCCCTGGTTCACCCAAACCCGCGAAAGCCTAAAGCCATTTCGTAATTACATGCCCGCAGTCTCTGATACTAGGATCCCTATGAGAACCCAATGTTAAGGTAGGAGGGGTTGTTAATCAGGGGTCTACATGACTTCAGAATCCCTGCTCTCAGAACCCTGGAGCTTGGACGAAGCGAGATTTCAAGAACCGACAGAGAACCGACAGGAAGCTTAGGGTATAGGGTTTAAGGTTTAGGATATAGCGTAGCTTAAGTATTTATGAATAGCCCCCCCCCCAGGTAGCACCACTAACGTGAACGGTATTCTTTGATATCCAGTCGGGCGAACAAAAGATCCCCGATTAAGCCATAAGCGATTTTCTGGCAAATGAGCAAAGAAACTGCGGTGGGTGGTACGTGAAGCAAAAAAATTTTTAAGCTCTACAGTCAAACCTTCAGCCCGCAGGTTTACTTGAGCCTGCAGCCAAGCCCTACAGCGTAAAACCGGGGACACCAGACCCCAAACTCTCAACCCTAAACCCTCAGGCATTGAGCCTAGACCTTAAACCCTAAAGCCCATGTCTCGAAGCCTCGTAGACCAAAATAATACAGATGCTTAGTTCCTCAGGAATGCAGATAATATAATTCAGCATAATTGTCCCAAAACTCTAACCCTAAACCCTAAACTGGTTTAGGGCTCTGCGTTTAGGGTTTAGAGCTAGTTCATTGTTCAGGGCCCCCATGGTTTTGTTCCTAAAGAAGACTGGGTTGGCCTTTAAACACCCTGAAAAGTATTTATATATAGGGCCCCTTATAAACCCAAATAAGGAAAATAAAAAATGTCCCACAATCCTACCTAGAAGAAGCCGGATCCTGCCTTCCACCTCGGCTTGGAGTCTCGGAAAAGTTTCTTCCGTGACATCTCAGCTGCGGCTGAGGAGTTAGGGTTCAGGGTTTGACCCTACCTGTAGCCGAAAAGACCTACCTTTTTAGAGTCCTTATGATGGTTTCTACATATATATATATATATGTATATATATATATATATGTATATATATATATATATATATTTACTTAAAAGGTAGGTCTTTTCGGCTACAGGTAAACCCTAAACCTTGAGGTTTTTGTAAAAGTGCACTAGCCCCTTTCTCCTCAGCAGAGTCGGAAGGTTTGAGGTTTAGAGTTTATGGCTTGAGGTTCAGGGTCGAGAATATGGGCCCCAACACCAAAGCTTGTCCTTGACACCTCACATGCAAGGAAGGCCGTTGTAGGATAAAGTTGTTTTGAAGAGCCCCTGTAAGGGTTCTATAAGGGTACTGTTAATTGCATTCGGTTTAGGGTCTCAGGTTTGGGGTTTAGGTGTCAAGTTTACTGCGCATCATTTGGGGAGTGCGCGAATACACCTTTCAGGAAGTCATGTGGTAAAGGCTGCAAGAATGTCTCATTCGAAGCAGCTTTACATGACAGGGGTCTGGTCGTTACAATCACTGCAACTCGCAGCCTGTAGGTAGTCTCCCACCAGACGAGACCCTGATGGATGTTTCGAGTGTCTTTTGAGAAATCTGATGTGCCGCCTACTTGAAGGTTCATGGGTAGCTATAAGTAGGGTTATAAGTCCCCTAATAGAGGTTATAACCATACGGTTGATGATATAAATCCTGCATTACCTTAAGGACCCAACCGTAGTTATCCTACTTTTTCCCACTTACAACTACCCATGAACCTCCAAGTAGGCACCAGAGCTTCCAGTGGGCCTGTGATGATGGGGATGGTTCACAGCATAGGTTAGGTACAGTGAGAGTATATAGTAGGGCTACTATTAAGGTCCTCATATATCTTCCTTAAGGATACTGTTCAACTATTACTGAGTGGGGGCCGTACCCAAAGCATAGGACTGGTCTTGTGGTTGTTAGTCTTGTTCCCGATCGACTTTACATCGTGCACGCCCCCTCTTTTCTGCAGCAAGCAAGAATACAGCCCTTGTACTGTGACGAGCCGCGGGCCCTTTCAAAAACAAGGGGGGCGCAAGGCAGCAGTCTCACCTTGAACCTCTGCAGACCTCAAAGGGAGATATGCAAACGGCACTATGTCTATGTATATGTATGTGTATGTGTGTGTGTTATATATACAAGTATACACACATATACTTGCGTGCACATTTTATGCGGGCTCTATAGAGGAACACAGCCGAGTTTTACATCCGTCGCCTGCACACCGGTGCACATACCTGCATACATACGACATTGTATGCATGCATGCTTGCCGGCATATGTACTTGCAAACGCAGACAAGCATGCATGCGCGCGTGCTGAAGCAGCAACACATGCACATTTCTTCAGAGCGCTCTGCGAATGCAGATACATGCGAGCGCACTAAGCCACGGATGGGCTGATACCACCCAACAGGTCCGAACACTTCGTCCCCAATCCCACGCCGTGGAAAAGGATGTGATGTCCGAACCCGAAACCCACAAACCGAACCAACAAAACCGTACATTGGCATGACAGGGCATGCTCAAACATAAATATTGCTGGCCCGGCAGCAATCGCCGTCGGCCCATTGCGACCACTTTTCTGCGACCTTGTCGTTGCGTAGGGCAGAAGGGTCCAGGAACCGTAGAGGGCTTCTGCGAACGTCACTTGCCGATGCATAAATCCCGGCACAGAGCGATGATGGTGAAGAAAAACACCAACTTCACTCTCTCCGTCCCTTCGTACCCTTAAAACACCAGATAGACCCCAAAGCAAACCCAACACACACTGAGCCCAGACCCTACTTGGAGGTTCATGGGTACTTCTAAGTGGGGTTATAAGTCGTCCCTTCGTACCCTTAACACACCAAATAGACCAAAAAACAAACCCAACACACACACTGAGCCCAGACCCTACTTGGAGGTTCATGGGTACTTCTAAGTGGGGGTTATAAGTCCCCTAATGTAGGTTATAACCATACGTATGCTACCTGTAACCCTACTTAAAACTACCCATGAACCTCCAAGTAAGCCGTCAACCTATTCAAGAAACAAGGCCCTATATAAGCCCTGCTTCCCTAAACCCTAAACTATGCTGAACTTAGACCCGTAGCAAAAACTCTAGCTTTAGCTCTTTCTTAGGGGTTATCATAACCAAAGATTATGAACTATTTATGAGCACCCCTGCGCAAACCCCTAAACTTTAAACGCGAAGCCCTCAACCCTGAAACCAACACACTACACACTTCGGGGGCATCTTGGCGCAGTGTCTCAGCTGTGTTGATCAATGGAGACATATGCCCCATAACTGAGTGGTTTAGGATGGTACGGTTGATGACATAAATCCTGCATTACCCCTAAACCCTAAACCCTAAACCCTAAACCCTAAACCCATAGTCTAGAGGGAACCCTGAAGTCCTCAAACCACCCTAAACCCAAGGCCCTACTTTAGGGGCCTTAAAAATGTAGGGGCTGCTATAGGGTTTAGGGTTCCTTTACAGGGGTCTATAAGGGCAATTAGTAGATATAGTATAGGGGTTCTAAATAATTACGTGACGCTCCTATGTTTTCGCCCTGAAAGTTTTGGTAGACAGATAGATGGGCCTTGCCCCAGATGCCGCTGCAGATGCAACTGCATACATGTGGTGTACATAGACGTACATGTACAGATACGGTAAAAATTCTGATACAAGCCCTAAGCCCGAAACCCAACACGCAAAGCCCTAAACACTTTAAAACTCTAAGCCCCAAACCGCTAAACCCTAAACCCTAAACCCTGAACCCGAAACCCCAAACCCGAAACCCCAAACCGGAAACCCTACATCCTCGACCCTACTTAAAGGATCATGAGACCTAGTAACTAGGGTTACAATTAGGGTAACTCTACTTATAACTACTTATAACTCCAATTAAGGTACTTACAACCTTACTTACTAAGTCCCATGATCCTCCAGGTAGACCCTAAACCCTAAACCCTGTAGATCCCTTTTAAGGAACCCTATAGATCCCTTTAAGGAGCCCTTTAAGGAACCCTTACTAAGTCCCATGATCCTCCAAATAGACCCTAAACCCTAAACCCTATAGATCCCTTTAAGGAACCCTATAGATCCCTTTAAGGAGCCTTTTTAAGGAGACCATGCAAGATTCACATAAGAACAGGCCGAGCCGCCAATCGATCGACTGACTCGGCGCCCAACATCAAACACGCTTTGAGGCCTCATGTGGCAGTTTCCGCAAATCAGGGGTACTCTATTTTGGGGTCCTTATAATAAGGATCCTACTATTTAGGGTACTATATTAGGGTCCCCTATTTTCGGAAACATCCATGTAGGCTTCAGGGCTTTTGAGTTTTGGAGTTTGGGGATTGGAGTTTTGGGGATTGGAGTTTTGGGCTTTAGGGTTTGGGCTTTAGGGTTTAGG